AATTACAATTTTTTATGAGTTATGAGGTGAGGCTTTATTTATTTTGATAGGGCTGCAGCCCTATCAAACCATTTTCCTTATATGAAAAGTCTATAAATTTTAAAATTTAGGTTTTTTTTTTTTCTGAAGGAACTTTAGTTTTTTTTTTTTTTTTCATATCAAGAAACTCCACCATTGCCTTGGGCCCAAGCCTGGATGAGAAAGGAGGAGGTTCGTAGAAAATATAAAAATTTTGCCACATTCCTATCATGAATCATGGTTCAACTTTATCTGCCCATGCTATCTTATTTTGTATTCTGACTAAGTTTTTACAGAGCATGATAGTGAAACAAAGTTTGTGTAGCCGCCCTCTCATGACCAATCTAAAATAATTAAATAAAGGTCAATTTATCAAAATCCACTTAACCTTTTAACAATTAAATATGCTATCGTGTTTTGACTATTCTAAATGATGGTTGTGTGTATTTTGATTTTATTTTGAAATAAAATCAAAAGATATGGGTAGAATGCTAAATAGTTGGTCTCTTGTATGATTTTCATATAATTTCCTTAAAAGGAAAACGCTTCGATGTGGTCCTATTCACTCGTAGTCCTATCCATTGCTCTATCTTAGAGATATATTTGGGATCCAAAACATATTGTAGACCTAGGGCACTCTAAATGAACGATTAAAAAGGTTTTGGCTCCCATAAAGTCAATCAATCAAAGTAAGGTGCCCCTTCAAATTTTATTAGAAGATGTAATTTAGGAGTCAAATTTTTTCAAAATGGCTTGAAAATCCATTTTTATATCTAATTATAAAATTTTAAGCTTAAAAAATAGTTCAAATCAAGTAGACCTATAAGCATGTGAAAATCCTAAAAATAGACGGGCTAGATAATGTGTTGCAAGATGCACTATTTTTACAACTCAAAATCTTTCCTTTTTTTAATATTCAATCATTGTGTCAAGATGAACATTTAGGGGATTTTTTGAACATTAATGCAACTTTTCCGCACGAAATCTTGAGGCGCTCCTTAATTCTTCATTCTAAGGTTGCAATGTTATATAATTTTTTTCCAATATTAAAATAGTGTAGTTTAAGATTTAAATTATCTTTTCAAATTCATTATTGCGGTGATCAAAATTAACTAATGAAATTTTACATCGGTTAAAGAAATGTCATACCTTTCCAAAATTTAAGCGAATAATTTTCTTTGAAAATTAGAAAATATGGTATAACCACATGGTGATGCCAAAAAATGTCTTAGACTTGTGAAAAATCAGTCCAAATGCCGAAAGACAATATAATGGCTTGAAAACAATGTGGTAGCCTAAAAATTCATTGGTAGATCTGTGAAGTCCAAATGAAATTGCCGGATATATCATTTTTAATATTTAAAATCAATAGTTTTATGGGAAAATATCTCTTTACCTTTTATTTTTAACTTCCATATATCATGAGATTCAAAAATTGAAAATATTACTTGTAAGCAAAAAGTCTCGATATTTTCTATCTTACAACCCCTTGGACACTTTTGATAATAAGTTTTTGACCCAAACAAATACTAAAATGACATCCTATTCAAACTTCATCTCTCTCTCTCTCTCAAACTCCATCTCTCTCTTCGCTTCTCGGTGAATTTACCAGCCAAGAGGTTTAGCTTGAACTCGAACACGAGCACACCTTCTTATGTGTGAGAGAGATGGAGTTTTAGAGAGAGAGAGATGGAGTTTGGGTTTTAGAGAGAAAGATCGAGTATGAGTTTTAGGGAGAGAGATGGAGTTTTGAGAGAGAGAGACGATGATGTGAGAGATATGGAGTTTGGGTTATAGAGAGAGATGAAGTTTTGAAAGAGAGAGACGATGATGGAGAGAGATAGAATTATAGAGAGAGAGAGATAGAGTCATTTCATAAGTTGTTGTGATCAATAATACATGGTCAAAAGAGTGTAGGGGGTTTGAAGATAAAAAAGATGAAGTCCTTTTGCTTACAAGTAATATTTTCAATTTATAGGTCTGATAAGATATAGAAGTTAAAAAGAAATAATAATAAGATATTTTCCTTATTTCTTATATAAATAATCATCAAGGTCAAGTTTCTAAAAATACCAATTGGATCTAAATCACTTGATTGGGATTTAGAATCGGTGGGACAGATCTAGTTTAGATGAGATATTGGGAACCAGACAATTCTCTGACAGAATTTATCAAAAAACCAGCCAATCCAATCCCACATTCTATTTTTTATTATTTTTAAAATTTTGAGCTTACTTTATTTTATTAATCAAGTAAATTAATACAATGCACTCAAGCATGAATCAACTCCTCATAAAGTAGAAGCTCCTCAAAACTTACTATATTTTATTAATTTATTTTGTTTTTAATTTTTTATTTTTATTGGATGATTCACTCGATCGGATCACCAATCCGCCAATCCACATGGATTTTCTAGATGGGTGATCTAGGTCACCGATCTGTTTTTCTAAACAATAGGTAAATAGTTTTTTTTTCCACTTAAATACACTTGCGGGCCTGCAAAAATACAAGAATAAAGTAAAGAAAAATTGTTTCATGTGGGCTGGACCGCATTTCTAAAATATGTGATCCTAAGGTATAAAGCATCCATCTTAAAGATGGATGCAAATAGGTGGCCGATCTAAAAACAATTCAAACTAAAGTTCCAAATGCTTTCTTAATAGAATTATTATTTTCAATTATCAAAATTTATTTATTTTTTCATATTCATGTTCTTCATGTTAGAGATTACATGTCCATGAAAATCAAGTTAAAAAATCCATCATAAAAATAGATTTTTAAGAGGTGACTCATGGACTCATAGAAACCGCGTCGTAAAGTAAAAGTGAAATGAGCTAAGCATGTCTTTTGGTTTTTTGGACGAAAGTTCAAAATTTTTTATTCCTCAAGAAAATGAGCTTAGCATTTCAACAAGCAATAGACATGGTCAGGGATTGGGTTAGATCCCTTTTAAATCTGATTTAGCACTTTTCAGTATGTCACTCTGTAAAATAGACTCGAGTAGCATTCCTGCTATTGTAAAGGGCCATTTAGTGTGAGAAACGAATCATGCTCAACATTTGACGGTTAGAGAGAGAGTCAGTCAGTAGACCCGTGAGGGTATGGCACATTGGGTATTGAAAGCAGTCCTTTTCCATTCGACTCTCTTGACTCTATATGTCTAAATACACACATCAAAGCTAAAAGTTCAGAGCTAGAGAGAGAAGAGAGAGAAGCAAGAGAGAGAATTTAAACCCAAAAAATGTAGGAAATTTCAAATATATTTATATTATAATTTTAAATATTACCAATATACAATAATCTCACTTAATTTACGCTCATATCTATTTTTTTACTTTTTTTTATTTTTTTTTATTAGTGCTCATTTTGCCCTCCTTTCGGACTTAATGCATACGTGACACCACAAACACCACGGATCCAATAGATCTTTGGTGGTTGTTTGCCCTCGTGAACTTCTTTTCAATGCACCTTCAAGGTTGCCACAACCCTTTTGGGTAAGTGGTGATTCCGTCACAAACCTACTAGGTCTACAATGCTGTGTAAAGCACCCGTAATGGTGCCTAGCCACCACTAAGGGTCTTGGAACTCGCCCTTACCATGGACAGGTCCGTGGTGGTGCCGTTGTGGACCTAATTGCTCTGTGGTCCGTAGCGGTTTTAAACAGATGCATAGTGGTTATATCGTCATGGATGTATCAATTGTGTAATAAAGTCAAGATACAAATTAATCAAAAAATTGGGAAAAAAAGGGTATGAATTTAAGTTAAGAACCATTGTTTCATGTGGGTTGGACCACATTTGAACAATATGCGGTTGATGAGAGGTATAAAGCATCCACCTTAAAAATGGAGGCAAATAAGTGGTCTATCTAAAAACAATTGAAGCTAGACAGTTCAAATGGTTTTTAAAAGCATTATTATTTTAATTTTAATTTATTATTATTATTTTTTCATATTCATGATATTTATGTTAAAGATTATATATTCTCTAAAAATTAAGATCAAATTTTATGTCTAAAATAAATTTATCAAACGCCTGCATTTCTACATGTGTGGACTTGGTCTCATTCTAACCGTGTCTTTGCGTTAAATAAGACTCTAGTATATTGGAAATTTCCAAAACTTTGATGGATATATCTAACAATTCCCCTCTATAGTATTATATAATAGAGAGCAAGTAGAACGAACTAAACACAAATTAGAAATGGATGGGGTTTCTATGTGGGAAAATTGTTTCATATGGCGAAGACCGTATTTCTACATTTGCATCCTTGTGGCATAAAGCATTCATTTTAAAGATATATACAAATAGGTGATCCATCTAAAAGCAATTGAAACTAACCGGCCAAATATTTTTTCAAAAGAATTATTATTTTTAATTTTTAAATTTTTTTATTTTTTCGTATTCATGATCTCCATGCTAGAGGATACATCTCCTTAAAAATTATGTCAAAAAATCCATCTCAAAAATAGATTTTTAGGATGCGACTCATTTCTACATGGACTATAGAAGAAACCTTGTCCTTCTATGAGTAAGCTGAAATATGCGACGGATTTTTTCTGCAAAATTTTAGGGATTAATCATCCGAGCCGCTGACAAAAAATGTGAAAAAAAATTTGGAATTTAAAAAATATATATATATATATATATTTTTATATTTTTGGTAGTCTTTACCGAGCATTCATCTTAAATATGGACGTTGAAGAGTAAACTAGAGAGAGAAGATTTGCACCAAAATATAGTATTAACAAGGAGAAGAGAGAGACAGACGAACCAAGCGTAAATTATGCAAAAAGAGGAGAGAGAGAGGGAGATTCGAATCCCAAAAATACGTAGGGAGGAGAGAGAGTGTTATATCTAGAGAGAGGGAGGAGAGAGAGTGTTATATCTAGAGAGAGGGAGGAGAGAGAGTGTTATATCTAGGGAGAGGGAGGAGAGAGAGTGTTATATCTAGAGAGAGGGAGGGGAGAGAGTGTTACGTCTAGAGAGAGAGAGAGAGGTGGACATCTGTTATGGAATGACAACTCAAAGGGTCAATTCTTTGGAGTGTGGAACGGGGACACGGATGCAGCAGAGCAGACTCCACTGTTGAGACTTGGAGAGAGAGAGCCGGAGGCTTCTTCGCACTCCAGGACTTGGTTTATAGAGAGAGGGGGATTTTTTTTTGTTCATAGGTTTCAGACTTCGCACTGCAGGACTTGGTTTAGAGAGAGAGGGGGGAGTTTTTTTGTTCATAGGTTTTAGACTTTGTACAGAGAGAGAGAGAGAGAGAGAGAGAGAGAGAGG